GAGAGAGAGAGAGAGAGTCCACATTGCATTTTCCAAATAATTAAGCTTGCAATCTGGCCTAGTGGGGGCTCATAAAACTAAACGAAATGAATAAAGAGAAACATCTAAAAGTTGATTGACTCTATCCTAGATTTACTATGTGGAATTTTCTTGATTGAGGTTGTGGCTTGGCCCCTCCTAAAACGCATTGATTGGGCTTGCCGTTAATATGTCTGTAGAACAACAATAGTGTTATTTTTGATAATATAATGTTTCTAAATCTTTTTTACATAGTACTTGCATTATTTGATATACCTTTTGGCTTAATTATGGTGTTTTTTTTTATAATATCAACAATAAACAGTTGGACTGAAGTTTATACCAAACAGTGGAGGATTAATTTCATACTCACTGGCCTCTACTCCAAAACTGTGATATATTATTTAATATAAAGATCAAACATACATACGCAATCTTACTTAACATAAAGAGATATTGTAATTCAAAACAAGGTGAAAAATTACCTCAGCCTGCTCACCAATATGGATGATTAGGGCATTGGGGATGTACTTGACATCATACCAATGACCCTCTTTGAAGACTTGGAGGCCCTGGACATCATTTGGGACAAGAATGCTGATGGCAGACATGTCAGTGTGAGCCACCACCCCAAGAGCAAGATCAGGACGAGGACATGGTGGGTAATAATTTTTATCTTCAGAAGGTACACTAACTCTTCGCCACCCACAGCATCATTTAGCTCATGTCCTTCAATCCCTATACACACCTAATGACAGGCTCCTTAGTAGCTTCTCCACCACACGACGGAGGTACTTGGCATACTCTTCGTTAACCTCCCTACAATTAAAAAGACAAAAAGAAAAGAAGAAAAAACATTTAGTTAACGGCGATCATGAAGCAAAATAAAAATAAATATAAAATTAAAAAATAATATAAACCAATAACAATCTTCCTCAAATCTTGCAATAACGAGAGACTAGTGTACTTGACTTTATTTTTTTTTTACTATCGAAGTTATAGTTAGCAGCATGTGTTAGGATAGATTCCCCGATAACCACTGATGAGATTTCTCCTTTTGTTTTTTGAATGAGATAGGTTGTGATTATAAATTTGGTGTTGTTCTCCTAATATACGTTTGTGGAGACTATTTTAATTATTAGGCACATAAGGTTAAGAGTAGAGAAAAATCATCATGTGGTTGATTGCAGATAATATGCCAAAAATGCTAGGGAAAAAGCTTTTTTTTTTTCTTATAATACTGAAGTTTGTTGGACGTAATTTTATTCCCGGGAGCTGAAATGTATATTATTTTTTTTATTCCTAAAGCTTTACTCTCAGAAATAAAAAATAATATATTTTTATTAATATATTATTAATTTCCGTATTCTCATCCTACCTTTTATATATATGTATATTTTCTCCAAGTAAGCTCCCCCAAATTCCTAAAAATTAAAATCTAAAAATCAAGAAACCCTAATATTTTATTGATTTTTATGGTTTTTTTATATGTGATGTATTGATGATTATAGTTCTCTTATTATGTTTTGTTATAATTATTTATGTATTATCGAATTTATTGTGTTTTTTTAGTATTATTGGTTTATTGTGTTAGTTAACTGGTGCAAATTAATTAATTAAATTATTAAAATGATCTAAAAATTAATAATTAAAAAATATGTAATCATCCGATTTCTTACCCAACTTCTTACTCGATTGTTTTGAAAGGAATTCAAATATAAATAGTATACTTGATATGCTATAGTAGGCCAATAAATTTTTTTTCTATAAAATATTAGACAGAAAGATGAAATATTATAATTTCAACCGATAAGGTAGGATAAAGATCGTTACATATGTTATAGTTTCAACCAAATCATTGCAAACCTGCAGGAAGCCGGATTTTTAGGCCACAACCGGCAGTTAATAGCTGAAGGAGGTCAAATCCTATGGAACAAGTGATCAACCCAACCTTTCTTGCCTTGATCTTCTTTTTGTAGCTTGGTTCCATAGCCTTCCATAGAGCCTGGAGGCTTAGCAATGGCTTCTTTTTCTTCTTGTGGTAGCTCAAAGAACTCCTTACCAACTTTCTGTAAATTGCTGATAACATCACTCGGTATGTTATGGTTCACAATTTGGAACAAACCCCATTTGGAACTAGAATCAGCAATGATTTCTACAAGTTTTTTCTCATTTTTGATTCCAAAATCAATCACCGGGACCTCGAGATCCTGCCCGTGGCACGTCGTGGTCCCCGGTTGTTCGTTCTCTGGCCTGATGAACTCAGGTGGTATGGTTTCTGAGGACAAGGACATTGAGGCAATATCTTGAACTCTCTCAACCTGAACTTCCAGTTTGTGTTTTGGACAATGTGTAGTGAGGTTGTTCTCAGACTGTAGTTTTTAGAATGTGTCTTTATAGAGTGAGAATATTGTGGTAAAGCATGAATTTATCATCAGGGAAAGAGGATGTGAGAGAGAAAATAGGAATTGAAGAGATCACAAATTCATTACTTTTTGTATAGTGATAGTGCATGTGGTTCATTGTATATTTAAGGAATAGCCCACACCCAACATCCTAAGACACCTTTTTTTGCTATCTTAGCTCCTGCCAAACACCACCGGAAAAAAGTTTTGTTTAATGGATGGCGCACTCTTCTTTGGCCCTTTCTTTTTTGTTTATACGACCAATGCAATGCTATGCATAACAAAAACTAGGGGTATATAAATTTTTAATTGGTCACAATTTTCTATCCTAACCGACGCTATTTTACCCTACTGAACGATTAGCCACAAAAATCGGATAAAAATGCGAAAGAGTTTTTGGTCTTCCGATTAAATCGGATAAAAATGCAGAATACCCATCAAATTTCGCATTCCTATCCTACTCTATCCGCAAAAAATATATTTAACTTTTTTATATTTTTTTTAATAATTATAAGAGTATTTATGTGGTATAATTTATATTATAACATTACCATTGTTGTGGATGTTTGAGTTGCTAAAATATAGATTTTTTTTTTATGTAGGTAACATGATTTGTGGTAAACTAGTGATCTATTGAAGCAATTATGATTTTAATGTGTTTCATATAATTTAAACTTAAAATAATTGTTATTATATTTAAATAACAATTATGATAGATTGATGTTCATATTTTCTTGTATTTTATTATAATTGTTGTTTTAGTTGTTTTAGATTTTAGTGTTATTGATTTATTGTGTTATTAAATTAGAGTAGTGTAAGAAAAAAAAAATTTCACAAAGTATCGTGTAGGAAGACAAAAGACTATATTTCCTACCCGTAGGATAAGGTGAACACCCTTAACAAAAACTTTACTTTTACGAGTATAAATTATAATTTATCCAAACATTTTACGAGTACAAGGGTTTGATTGTTGCAATTTAAACTTAAAGACCCAGTAAGAAAGGTAAATTACACTTATATTTCTTGAACTGTTACTCTTTTTTTACTTTATTCCTTCAACTATCAGATTTTTTATATTATGCTTTTAACTAATACTTTTGTTTCACGTTGTCTCAATCACAAATGTCTGTTATATTTTTAGATGGAAGTCGTTGAGGTGTCAAAGTAAAGTGAAAAATAAATTACATAATTTAGGAGTTAAAATGAAATAAATTTCCATTAAATATATAACTGACGTTAATAATTAAGGTAATGTGAAATTAATTACATACAGTTAAGAGTACATTGTGAGAAAATTGATAGTTGAGAGGGTAAAGTGAAAAAGGGGTAATAGTTCGCGTGTAAGTATAATTTACTTTACATACCAAATTAAGTGCATACTTTATGAGTATGTATAAATTATAATTTACCCAAATATTTTTTTTAGGACATGGGCCTCCTACTTAATTTGGTAAAAGTGTTTTTTGGTAAATATTTTGGTATGTATAGCATTTTTCAAGCAGTTTTTACACTACCAAAAGGTCTAATTTTACTTTACTCCTTAAAAATATTAGAAATTATTCTTTGTCACCCCAAAATTAAAATCTCACTTTATCCCTTTAATTTTAAAAAAAAAATTAAACAACATATTTCAACAGCTAGATGTCAATGAATATTTCATCTGCTAGTACATCATAACAATACTATATGTATTGAAATCTTCTCGTAGATGCACTCTATTCTATCAAGATTAATCACCTTGCATCAATTGCCTGATATTTAACCATTTAAGTAAGCGATGCTGTTTGACTGTTGGAACACATTGTTTCCCTTTTGAAAAATTAAGGGGTTAATGTAATACTTTTTATCTCTAGGGAGTAATATTCAACCCTAACTAAATCTATCCAAATTATTTGGTTCTCGTGGCTAAAAATCATTTGTTCACTAATTGCATGATATATAACCATTTGCAAGGGGTTGGGTGGTGTTAGATTTCGGGAGTGGGTGGTGGGTTTTGAGGGGGGCTGTGGGGGTGGGTTTCGTTGGTTGGATGTTAAGTGTTTGATGATAGTGGATTTTGCAAGAGGATTGGTTGGTTGGTTTTGATGGTGTTTCGGTGGAGTTGGGTGGTTAGGTGATTGATGGTGTTAGCTCGTTGGTGTTGGTGGTGGTGGTGTTAGGTGGTGGATTTTTGATATAATACAAAACATATATTTTTTTTTATTTTTTTAATAATTTTTTAAATATAAATGACTACCAAACATGTGTTTATATTTTCAATTTTTATCACAGAAAGAACAAAAAATAATTTTTTGTTATTAAAAAATAAAATAAAAATAAAAACGTTATCAAACACACCCTAAAATTAATCAAACAGTGTTTAAAGCTCATGCCATCGAGTTTGTTTTGAATTAAGTTTTTTTTTTAAATATCAAAGTAGCTCATAGTCATTGCAATATTATCTATCTGGATTTTGAACCCCTATGCCAAAACAGTAATGTGCAAGAAAGTTAGAGCAAAGGAGCTTTTCGGGTAGCAAGCTAATTAGGAGAGAAGTCACCTTTAAATTCTTAAGTAGAGGACAAGGAGGGAAGCACGATACGAGGCTAGGAACGATATAGGCTTGGTGACAACAGAGAACTTTAGAGGTAGGTTAGAAAAGACGGAAAGATAAAAAAAGGCTGGGAGTGATATAGGCTAAAGACGGAAGTCAATTCGTCTTTCATCCGTATTGTGTCCCATGCTAGGATTAAGAAATCCAAGGATTTAAAGTCATACTCAAAACCATTTTTTATTTTAAGTAATGAATATTTTTCAAATTTTGATACAAAAGTACTCCTTTTCTATCATTTTATCAAAACATCTAATATTTAGCAAAATTTTCACTTACTATGAGTAGTCAAGAATGGAATATTGAGGGAAATTTCTGAAAAATATTGTGATGATAAAAAATGAGTGGCAAAACAAGACAAAAATTTGTTAGTTATCATTAGAAGAGAGTCAATTGTTGAGCATAAAAGAAAGTCTAAAAAGAAAGGTCAATTGACAAAAAAGAAATAATTTACAATATATGATCTATCTGAATTTAAAATATAAATTCCAACAAACACATATTGGACTTAAACAAAAATAGAAAATTTATTTATATCGAAATGGTTTGATATATGAAATGAACCTATTATTTTGATTTGTTACATATTTTGTTATTTTATTGAATTGAGTTGTGTGGATTTTGATACATATAAAGAATCACAAAAAGAGTAATGTGAAAAAAAGGTATTTTCTTTTTTGTGAATGTTGTAAAATGTTGTCATACCTCGTTAAGTTTTTAGCTTTCAAAAACCACCAGAGATCTTCTTGCACTAAAATGACACCCATTAAAGTCGGATCGGATGCGTCGATTTCTACCTTGATGTTTTATCAAATTCAAGTAATTTTAGTCCTACAAGACAACTGAAAACATTATTGTTAGTGAAATGAAAGATGAGCACATGACTTCCTTATCATGCATCCTATACTCTTATTGTTATATATCGTGAGCTCCCTTCTTAAAAAGATAACATGTAACGGACTCAAATTATATTGATTGTTTATCTGTGTATTATCTTGTGAGTCACTCTTATAGATGAAGTCTTCCTTCTTTTTCTGTTTTTCCCGGTCCGTTTTGGCTCTTGATCTTGAGATCACTATTCTTTGCCTCAAGCTTGACTTATTAGAATCATTGTTCTTGATCTCCAAAGTAAAATGTCTAAAATGGTCAAACTATGCAAATCTTGTGTTTCCTATTTTATGATCTGCTTGTGATTTCCTAATTTTATGCCTCAGTTATTTCGAATTGAACTCCACTCTGTTAGAATAAAGGTCTCAAATTCAAGTACAATATCCTCTCCATCACCACCATATATAATTGGGCTTTTAATTGTGGATTAGAAGATCAAAAGAAGAAGCTTCTTTTCAGAGCAGAAAATGTAGTGACATACACTTAGAATTGGGGTTAGCAATGTATTGGCATGCCAAATGCTATTTGGAGGTTCCAAAGGATATTTTTGGCATGCAATGGATATGCCAATAGCTGAGATGGCAAAAGAAAATTTGACATATAATATTTGATTGAGTAAAAGAGTGTACCCGCGAGTGCACATGTTATTGAGAAGTGGACACTATGGTCAACTGGGTCATGATCCATGACGTTAAACCGTCAAGGAGATACAGCTCCCAAAATTCATGTTATTGAGAAGTGTACAACTTATGGCCACCTTTTGATAACACTTTTTTTTGAGTAACCTTTTTTAAACCAAAAATAATAATTCCATCATGAAAATAGAATCATTCATACTTGATTTTTTCTATATATTATAAATCATCTATACATTGCTTTGCCTGTTTTTGTCAACACACAACTGTATTCCCAACTCAAGTAAAGATTAATTTTGTGGGAAATAATTGCTCAAGGCCTATACTTCCCCAAGCATTCTAATTACTGAAGTTTTGTTGTGTTTTGGAGTTTTTTTTTTGTTTTACCTCTTGCTTTCTGTACAGTGCTTTTTTCCCGAGTTAATACAATCTATGGAGAATTACACTCAAATTCCTAAAATTTGTCACTTAATCAGTCAGACATCTTGACATTTGAAATATTACACACAGATCCTCTGAAGTTTATACGTAAGTAACACTTAGATCACTATCATCAATGTCCGTTATTATATCCGTTAATAAATTATATTCAAATCCCCTAACATTTGTAGGCATATATTTGTCAAAATATCTTAATTATCTATAAATCTTTTAAAAAAATTTTAAAATTATACTTTCTCTCCAAAAGTTCTTAAAATTTCAGTGGAGGCGGCTGGCCCCACTATGGATCCACCACTCGGCGGTATTGCACTAATGGTTTCCTATGTAGTTATCTAGACAGTGGGATCACAAGGGCTAGTAATTATCTTGTAGTTATTATCCTTTTGTATTTAAAGACTTTATGATTAATAGAAAAGGCAGTTTATATTTGTAAAGGTATTAATCAAGTCAAGTCTTCCGAGTTTAGGTATGCTCAGTCTCGACTTGAATTGTTAAAACACTATTCTAGCTCGAACACTAAACCTAAATATTTGTTCAAGCTCGGCACAAACTTGAGCCGAGCTTGAGCCAAAAATGAGCCCTAAAACTAAATCTCC